AGCAAAAGTTTCCCTTTGTTAACTAATGGAGAGTGGTGAAAATAGTCACTGTACCATTGAAAAAAAACACACTTCTTTTGGATTTTTAGTCATCCCGTTGTTTTGCAATTAAATAAAGGCAGTGAGGGAAAAAACAAGATTGAGATCACTGGCCAATCTAAAAGAATTATTTCATTAGCTAATGACATCACCATTATCTCAAAGTTTTAGGTCACCGTTAGGTATAAAAGAGGTCATTAAATCTGCAGTCAGGCCTGTTTCTAATCTTTAGCATTCAGCACTCAGACTTAACACTCACTTTCCTCTGGCTCTTTCCCCTCACAGTAGCACAGAAACATACGGTCATCTCAAAATCAGATCTTCAAAAAATCTCACCTGCCTCTCCAGCTACTGCCCCATTTCCCTTACATTCTAAGCTCACTGAACATGATTCTCCAATCTCTAGTTCCAGCCAAGCCCCTCTCCAGCCTTGTTTTCACCCCTAGAAGTCCACTGAAATGTCTCTCAAAGTTTGGAGCTACCTCTTCCTAGCCAAAGATCTGAAGTAGTGCACCATCCTCTTTGACTTAAGTTGTCAGGCACCAATGACAGAGGACCATGCTCCTCCTCTTGAAATCTTGTCCTACTTTGACTTCTATGAGTAGGTCCACACTAACCCCCCACTTCGAACTAAGGTACGCAAATTCAGCTACGTTAATAACGTAGCTGAATTCAAAGTACCTTAGTTCAAACTTACCACGGGTCCAGACGCGGCAGGCAGGCTCCCCCGTCAATGCCGCGTACTCCTCTCGCCGAGCTGGAGTACCGGCGTCGACGGCGAGCACCTCTGGGATCGATTTATCGCGTCTAGACAAGACGCGATAAATCGATCCCAGAAGATCGATTGCTTACGGCCGGACCAGGAAGTAGAGTGTAGACCTGCCCTATGACTCTAGCCTCTCCTAGTTCTGCTCCTACCTCTCTAACTGCTCCTTCTGTGTGTCCTTTGGAGAATCCTTTTCAACCCCCTTCCAACTTTCAGGGGCACGAGGGGTTGGGGGAGGAGGGTTCCACAAGGCTTTGTCCCTTGATCCCTCTTTTCTCCCTGTACACCTTACCACCGGGTAATCTCATCTGCAAACACAAATTCAGCTACCAACTCTGTACAGAAGACCCACAGCTCTACACAGCCCTTCCCACCTGCTTTCTTGTAATTTGGACATCAGCTCAACTCAAAACTCCCTCTAGGTCTTCACAGCCAGGCTATGTAAGTCTTGCCAATTCTTTCTGCATCACATATCTACCATATGGCCTTTCCTATCCATCCACACAGCTAAAAACCTCTTTTCCAGGCTCTCATCATCTCACATCTTTAATTACTGCAACAATCTTTTCTCTGTCCTTGACAAATACAATCCATATCCATCAGAACGCAGCTGCAAAGATCATTTTCCTAGCTGTCACTTGGATCACATCACCCCTGACTTTGCATCCCTTTACTGGCATCCCCTTCTTTATCACATCAAAGGTAAGCAGATTGTCTTCACTTTCAAGGCTCTTCACGGCCTACTCCCACTCTACCCATCATCTTTCATTCACTATTAAGATATCAGCTCCTGCCTCCAAATCGGCCAATGACACCAGCCTTCATCATTCACTTGTTACATTTTCGAATGAGCGCCTTCGCGCTTTGTCTCATGCTGGAAGCACTCCTTGCAACCATCCACAGAGCTACCTCCTCCTCCAAAATCTCTACTTAAAACCCTTCTTTGCCATGAGGCCTACAAAAAAACAGACCATTGTTAGGCTCCTGGTATGCAAAGACCACTACTTATCATGCTGTCCAACGCGGTCTCGTTTCCTTGTACTCCCCTGTCGGTATCCTCCTGTTATCTCATACTTAAGACCATAAGCTCTTTGGAGCAAGAACCATCTTTGTTCTGTGTTTGTACAGCAATTAGCACAATGGGGGTCCTGTTCCAGGGCTAGGGCTCATAGGTGCTAAATTAATAGACATATAATACAGAAAAGGAACATATAGAAAATACACATTAATATTTGGTAGAACTCCAAAGTGTTAAATAACTGTTTGGATGATTGTGTTTGGGGGGGTATAGATATTACCTGTTTTGGCCTATAGAGCTAATGTCGCAAGTTGTTGGGTTTTTTTTGTTTTTTTTTGTTTTTTTTTCAAATTAGTGATTTATTTAGCTCAAGTCCATTCTGAAAGGATTGGTTTTATGGTACCAGGGGTTTTCATCATAGCCATTTATAGTATAGTAGTTCTAATAACCGCACTTCCAAAAAATTTCAAGCCCCACACATTTATTCAAACTGATTTTCAAAACACAGCAAATTTTAAAAGACAAATTTCAGTCCCACTGATTTTAGAAGTGACATGCAAAAAAAAAAAAAA